AGAGGCAGGTGGATCTCTGTGAGTTCGAGGCCAGCCTGGTCTACAAAGTGAGTTTCAGGAAAGGTGCAAAGCTACACAGAGAAACCCTGTGTCAAAAAACCAAAAAAAAAAAAAGTCCAGAGAGAGAAAGTGAGAAAGAGATATTTTTCAGGGCTGGTATGTTCAGTTTTTAACTGGCCCCAAATATTTTCATAGAATATAATCTCAATTTTAAAAAACATTAAACACAAGCATATTTGTAGGAATGCTAAAATTATATATACCAGAATGTTAATGGCTATTTGAATATAGGTAATATTTATTCTCTTTGGGTTTTTTTCCTTTCCCAAATTTTCTGCTTTAAAATACATGTTACTTTGTAGTGTTTTCTTTGTCATGGTTGGTTTTTTTTTTTTTTTGTTTTGTTTTTTGAGACAGGGTTTCTCTGTGTAGCTTTGTGCCTTTCCTGGGACTCACTTGGTAGCCCAGGCTGGCCTCGAACTCACAGGGATCCGCCTGGCTCTGCCTCCCAAGTGCTGGGATTAAAGGCGTGCGCCACCACCGCCCGGCCATGGTTGTTCTTTTGAGACAGGGTCTTAACGTATATACATCCCAAGCTGGCCTCGAACTAGTCATCCTCCTGCCTCACCTTCCTGAACTCAGATTATATATGTGGCATGCACCTTCTTACTTAACTTTGTATTACAAGATTAGAAACACTAAGCTGAGTCAGGCCAGACTAACCAACATAAATTGGAGGCCAGCCTGAACTACATGAGAACCTGCTTTACTCCCATTAGAAAAACAAAGCTAGTGTTAAAAAATCTCATCATTGCTGGGCGGTGGTGGTGCATGCCTTTAATACCAGCACTCTGGAGGCAGAGGCAGGCAAACCTCTGTGAGTTCAAGGCCAGCCTGATCTGTAAAGCAAGTTCCAGACAGCCAAGGAACATAGAGAAATCCTGTGTATAAAAACCAAACACCAAAACCAAAAAAACTTTCCATTTAGCTTTATTTAGTTGCTTATTTAAATGAGACCTTATTATATAGCCCAAACTGCCTTCAAATTCATGATCCTCCTGTCTCAGCCACACCGATGCTGGAATTACATGCTTGAGCTACCATGGCTGTTTTTTAATTTATTTTTAAACTCACTTCTTTGTTATGTAAAAGATAATTTATTTTGCTCTATTTTCCTTCTGCATCTTGGCTTTTGGGATAAAGGCCAACTTATGAAGAGAAAAATCTGGTATCAGTAACACATGCACAGACATAATTTCCAGGAGGAATACTCTGGAAGTCAACATATATTCAAGCCCAATGTTATTTTCTGTGGCATATTCAGGGTCTGGGACAGAAGATATTCAAGCTCAGAATGATGATCTCAAGACCCCATAAAATGAATAAATCCTCAGTTATCAAACAAAATTTTGTTATGGCCACTAGCTTGACTACTATGACTCTTCAAATGAAGTCTATAGTCTTTATTGAGGGTTAGCAGTCAGTGAGTGTAATCTATGGAATAGAATTGAATCTCTTTGCTGAGTGAAGATCTTATAAGACCATCATTCAGAGCACCAGTTTCCATTGTCCTGGCTCTCCTTCATCATCCTCCAGGATCTTTTAGTGAAGCTCACTTCTAGGCTGGCCCGGCCTCGGTCCTTCAGGCTGTCTCAGCCTCTTAGTGTTGGGCTTGCTGATATTTACCACCAGCCTCCGCTTCCGTTTGGACGCTCACAGACCCTGGTCAGGCTCTCCTCCCCGTGTTTCCGGACTACAGCGGTCATTTGGTTTCTGGATGTCTCCACTCCATTGTTCCCTGAATGTTGCTGTCACAGTAGGCATCTGTATCCCTGCTTGCACCTGTATGCCATCTTCCTCTTCAGGAAATTAGGGCAACCTCTAATGCATGTGCTGTCAAGTGGAAATAGTTAAATCTGTCTTAATTTGACCCATCCCTACCTAGGTTCAAGATGCTCAGCCACATCTTTCTCAGTGACTGTGGTCCACTAGTTCACCCTTCCACAGTAGATCCTGAGCCCAATCTCATCCACTCTTAAAGACGCAGCTTATGTTTCTACCTTCATCTTCAACTCTTTCTTTAGGGGAGGAGGCCTTCTTGTGAGACAGGGTCTCTCTATTTAGTCCTGGCTGTCCTGAAACCCACTATGTGAACCAGGCTGGCCTTGAACTCACAGAGATCCACCTGCCTCTGCATCCCAAATGCTGGCATTACAGGTATGAGCCACTAGGCTTGGTTCAAATCTTTATTTTTTATTTTTATTTATTTATTTATTTATTTATTTATTTATTTATTTATTTATTTATTTATTTATTTATTTATTTATTTATTTATTTG